TCTTGCTCAGGCTGGTTTCGAACTCCTGAGCTCAAACAATCCGCCCGCCTCGGCCTCCCAGAGAGCTAGGATTACAGGCATGAGCCACCGCTCCCAGCCGGTACATAGACTTTTTATGAAACTTTTTTGTTTGTTTTTTTGAGACAGAGTCTCATTCTGTCACCAGAGCTAGAGTGCAGTGGTGTCATCATAGCTCACTGCAACTTTAAACTCCTGGGCTTAAGGGATCCTCCTACCCCAGCTTCCTGAGTAGCTGGGACTATAGGTGCACACCACCACACCTAGCTAATTTTTTTATATTTAGTAGAGACAGGGTCTCACTCTTGCTCAGGCTGGTCTGGAACTCCTGGCCTCAAGTGATCCTCCTGCCTCGGCCTTCCAGAGTGCTAGGATTACAGGCGTGAGCCACCACACCTGGCCTATGAAACATGTTTGAAGTACCTCTTTAGAACAGTATCAACAAAACTGAATAAGTATACAGGTCTCCAGGGCGACTGTTTTGAAAGGGTTAAGACCCATGTTAATGTATAAAATTCTAATGTATTTGTTATTAAGTTCCTATTATTTTATAATCACATTATCTGAAATCAAACTCACTGGATTTTATTGTCTAGACCTGGAAAGAAATTCATGCAAGAAATATTTACTGAACATCGACCGTGTGCCAGATTCTGTGCAAAACACTAGAAGTACAGTCTCCATATTCATAGAACTTATTAGTTCAGAATACAGAAAATAAACAGCTGAATAAATTAATATTACTTGAATATGTCTTGCTGAGATTTTGGCTTGTTAATTTTTCAGGTTGAAATGCTTTCAGTATCAGATTTTCTTTAACTTTCAGAAAGTTTTTTTTTTACCATTCTACCCTTGATTTTTAATATACCATTTATTTATTTATTCAGTAAATAAATATTATTTAGCATCTCCTATGTGCCAAGCACTTTTTATACCTTAAGGATCCAACACTAAACATGAAAAACAAGGTCTCACTTCTGGAACTTACGTTTTAGGGGCGAGAGACAATAACTATAATAAAAATCAAGAAAAATATAGTCACAAGTGCTATGCAGAAAATTGAGACAGGGCAATGTAAGAGATAATCACTGAGTGGACCCCCTCAATTAGGTGATCAGAGATCAGGTGTGAAGAGGTGACCCCTAAACTGAGATCTGAACAGCAAGGGGCCAGATGTAAGGAGACTGGTGTGGGGAGGGTTGGGGAGATCCTCAGGCAGAATGGTTTGGAGTGTTTGGAGAACATGCCGATCCCAGCGGGCCGACGCATCCCATCGGGAAATGCAGAGTGACGTGCAAAAAGGCCAAGAGGGCCGGATCATATACAGCTTTGTAAGCCACAGGAGGGAGTTTTTATTTTAGGTGTGTGGTGGGAAGCTGCTGGAAGTTTTGAAGCAGGCATGTTACGTGGTGTTTTAAAGGTGATTTCTCAAAGCTCACTGTGCCTGGCCTCTTGGGAATGGACAGCGTCACAGCAACAGAAGGGAAATGGAAAGACTGGTTAGGAAGGGGTTGGGGAGGGGTGAGGCCCACCTGAGAGACCAGGAAGGTGGTAGAGGAGAAGGAGAGAGGGATGGAGTATGGGCCATTCCGGAGGAAGAGTCGACAGGACTTGGTGGTGGCATGGATATGGAGGACCAGGAAAAGAGAAGTGTCGAGGCTAAGTCCTAGGTTGTTTTTTTTATTGTTTGTTTTTGAGACAAGGTCTCACTCCATTGCCCAGGCTGGAGTGCAGTGGCATCATCATAGCTCACTGCAGCCTGGAACTCCTGGGCTTAAGCGATCCTCCTGCCTCAGCCTCCCAAGCAGCTGGGGCTACAGGCACATGCCATCATGCCTGGCTCATTTTTAATTTATTTATTTTTTGTAGAGATGGGGTCTTACTATGTTGCCCAGGCTGGTTTTGAACTCCTGTCCTCAAACAGTCCTCCTGCCTCACCCTCTGAAAGTGCTAGGATTACGGGTGTGAGCCACCATGCCTGGCCCGAGTCCTAGTTTTTTACTTGAGTATCTAGAGGATTGGTGGAACCATTTACTGTGTTGGGGATAATTTGAGGAGAAGCAGTTTTAGCGTTGGGAGGAGAAGTAGAATCACTGCTTCTCTCTGAACTATATTAAGTGTGAGGTACTTTGGGGGATGACACTGCGCAGGGCGCTTGAGCACCGACCCTGGTTTGTCCCCTGGGTGAGGCTCTGTCTGAACGTTGTTCATGAACCAGGGAAACCTGACGTATCAAACACCTCCTTAAAAAGGAACGTGTAGCACAGATTATTTGTGTAAATAATCTGTTGGTGGGATGTGATGATAGAAATTATAGTTGAATTTGTTTTCTGATACTTTTGTAGTGTTATTGCTTTTATAATATATGTATAAAAGAGGAGATGTGTGGTAAAGATCGTCACCAGTGGAAATGGGAGAAAAGGGAGCTTGGCATGTGTATAAATCTTTCAAGCGGGAAGGGAATGGAGTTAGAATCAAAAACAGTTCTTGTGGCAGCCACCAGGGGGCGCCATCGGCCCAGTCCTGGTCGAGGGTCGTCTCGGCGCAACGTGGCACCAACCCTGGAGATAATACCCACGGAACTGTTTACATCTACAGGATATGCACAAGTTGTGTTTGCAATTCTGTGAATCCGCCCATGTCGATGGACTGAGATTACCCCATTAAAAACGAATTATCGGCTTCCTGTTTGAAGTGAAATTAAATATAGATGTCTGCTGGCTTGTGTCCAGAGGAACTCTATTTCCTATAACCCGTTGACTAATATTCACAAACTGAAAGTTGAAAGATGACAGCGGACTGTGTTCATTCTATAAAACCATTGTAACCTGGCATTATTGAATCCTTT